CATTCTGTAGTTGGTTACTTTTCATGTACAGTACTGTGAAAAGGTCTTTGCTCATTGTTTAAATCCATTTATCTTAGCAATGATTGTGTTTGCTTATAAAAACATCAACAAATCAAAAAAGTAACTATAGTTTCTTGTTTGGAATAAAGTAGTTGATACCTTGTGAGCTTTGTGAGTTTGAAGAACATTGGCTCCAGGTTTCTCCTTGATGCTCCAAGTCATCACATAGATTTGTTAAATTTCATCACTAGCACATGTGATTTTTTTAATGATAAGGCAAACCAGGTATTGGATAAAAACTACAAGTAACACTAGGCTGCCATGAGGAAACATTTATAAATGATTAAACGAACACATTGACACCTGTAAAGTCACAACTTGCTGTATTAATGTTGTTTGTGTATATTTTTATATTAATGTTTTATGAGCAAGTAAACACTGTGCTTTTTAACTGTGTTTTTATCAGGTGTCTAAAACTTTTGCCCAGTACTCTACATGGATTCGTTTATAGGCATACCAATACTGCATCGAAAGTATATTTAATATAGATGGTTATGCTTTGTGAAATGTTAATTATATATATATATATAGTCTCTGATCCAACTAGTTTAATTGTGCATCAGAGTTTCAGTACATTTGGTTTATATGAATGGCTAGTGTTGTGGTACTAGAGTCCAGTGCTGGTCTTGTGTCAGTCTCAACATCATTTTGACTTAGTCTTGTTTTGGTCCTTTCTTTAAATGTCTAAATAAAATCTGTTAGCTACCCGGTGAATATCTAACTGATGCTTTTCATAATTGCTTATTGGAATATTATTTGTTCGCTGATGTTCATTGGTTCCAAAATTCAAACATCGTCTGAGGGCAAATAAAAATGTTATTATTACTGTATTTTCATTTAATAATAAAAATGGATATGTTATTTTGTTTATATTCAATTGACTTCAGGTGGAGACTTCTGAATAAGAAGAACGGACAGAGAATAATTTTACCATCATTTGCTTCCAAACATTACGATGCAAAGTTGGACCAAGACTACATTTTTTTTTACTTTTTAAAATTATGTTTTACAAAATGTATCATAAAATATAATGTTATTCATTAATGTGTATCATATATAATAAATGATAACAAGTGTACAATTAGTTTTAATTTTTATATTCTAAAAAAAAAAAAATTCATCTGGCCTTAGTCTTGGCTCAGATCTCAGTGATGATTCAGACTCTAGGTCTTGACTGTAACACTATGAGAGGCAAAACAGATGATATCAGTGCTGAGAACTAATTATAATACCAAATACTCAATATAACACCACATATATTGAACAATTGAAAAATTTATTTTCCACATTGACATAAAAAACATAGGTGTCCCCCACTGACGAAATCCCAATTTAACCCCTGCTCATAACCAAATTGTCGCATCTGTTTCTAACTTATTTAGGCTATTAGCGATCACATTGGTTGGAGTCATTCAGAATGGGCATTGCTTAGATTCATTCATGTCCCACAATTTGCTTTTAAAGATGCACACATCCCATAAACTGTGAATTTAGGCTCGTGCACCAGTTTCAAACATAACATGTGGGCAGAACGCACCTGAAATTGCTCGAAACACCAAGCTCTCAGTCTTTAGTCAGTCTTAAGGCGGTAAAAACTGTTTGTAGCATTTGCCACATAGACAAATGTGTGCCACCATTTTTCTCCATAGCAGGTAAATAAGCTTTCTTTATTTGAATGGCTTCTGTAGTTAAAACAAGGGCAACATTCACAATCACTACATACAGACATTCTGCAGCTATATAGTGTCAGGACACTTTTGGGGCATGGAGGGGTAGCAGTTTTGAAGATAGTTAGGGAAGGTTGAGGGCTCAAAACAGGAGTTCCCAGAAACCATCAAAATCTTTAACTATAAAGTTTATTTTATTGTTTTTTTGAAGTGTAGCAGCGCTACTTTTATTTGTATACATTGTGTCTGTTATGGTTATCCATGTAGCATGGATTTAGTAATTTATTGGAATGGAAATAAAAATATATATTAAATTGTTATATACCAACATGAGCATGGTATTTTAACATGCTATCATTAAATAAGCTATATTCCTTTTAAAGTCATTTTTAGTGCTCAGTGTTGGCATTAAATTTGCTGAAGAACGCATAGTGACTTGGGCTCAAACTTGAATCTTGACTTGGGACTTGAGTGTCAAGACTTGTTACATGTAGCTCTGACCGCATATGATAAAGTTAATTTCCACAATGCCTTGCTGTGATGGAATCTCAAGGCAGATACTTTGACAAGAAAGTACTATAAATTTTAATTACGGTATAATTTATCATTCAGTGACTTCTTGCTGTTCCCACACTTGAAGTACTCAGTAAAACATCTAATAAAAGTACCTTTTGGTGTCTGCTCTATTATTTAAATTGACATTGATTTATATTATATTATATTTATATTATTTAAATCTACATTGTGTAAGTCGTTACTGAATAAAATAACATGATTAATATGACAAGTGGAAACTTTTGAGCAGTGTGTGTGTGTGTGTGTGTGTTTGCAGAAGTTGTAACAGGCTTTTTATTGCCTTATGTTATATGTGTGTTCCATAACTGTTAGTAGACATCCCTTATGTGAGTCTATACATAAATGTTGATCACAGGGTGAGCTGACTCAGTTATCTTCAAGTAGTGTTTATACCAAAGATAAAGGCACAGAATATTAAAGAACTGGCTAAATAATGATAAAGCTTTGAGTTTCAGGCTTCAGCACAGCATTCTTCTCTCAGCATGTGTCTGTTTCCTTGCTGCGAGCCTCATGTTTGCGAGCTTTAAACAACACACCCCCCTGCTTTCCCAGCCGCACAAACACACAAGAAGATGCATTTTGTGTCGGGAAGGCAAATCAGGCAGCTTCTTTTCCATTTCCTTGACACAGAGCCTCTGAACAATGAACACCATTCGTCTTCCCTCCTCCCTTTTCAGCTGTCCTATTGGCTGAGTCATCCCTCCGCTCTCTTTTCCCAGAAGAGAGAGGTGCAGAGCAGGCGAATCGGGGCGGCCGCCGGCCCAGACGATTCCTCAGAAACCCCTAACACCAACGTCAGCAGTGACAAATCGAGATGGCAGCAGCATCCAAAAACAGACTTCTCCATGTTTAGAAGGGAAAGAGAGAGACATGGAGAAGAGAGAGATAGAGGGAAGTGAGAGAAAGAGGGTGAGAGAAGGGGAGACAGAAAAACAGAGGGAGAGAGAAATGATGAATCGTGCCATGCCAAACGGCTTTGTCAAATCTATCGGCACATAAGTGAGGCGCAGCCCTGCCAGTCCACAGATAATTTGTCTTAATCTAGCCATGGTGGCTGGGAGAGAGAGGCAGAGAGAAAGAGACAGAGAGAGAGAAAGACTGAGGCTGAGGGATGAGTCTCTTTAGCTTAATCTCACAGCAGTGACAGACACAGCAGATATGGCTAGGACTCATCTGATCTGTGGTGGGAAGGAAGGAAAGAGAGAGAGAGAGAGAGACAGAGAGAGAGAGGGAGGGAGGGAGGATAGGAAAAGGAGACAGGAAGATGGGAGTGCACATAGGTGATAAAAGTTCATTAGGTTGTGTTCGTCATGCCTACACACACAAAATACAGCATATTAGGTAGAGCAGAGCTTTAGCCGGGCCTGAAATTTTGGTCTGAACTCGAATACACACCAAGAATGTTCTCTCAATGCCTGAACCTACCCACAGCATCATGTTTTCATCCCCAACTCGACCTGATCCCGACATATATGTATGAACTCGATCTGCGCCAAACCACATTATCATATTTTGAGTCTAAAACTGATTCAAGTATGACAAAATTCTCTCTGAAACTGACCCAAACCGGCTCATCAAAACCCAAAGTGCAGAATAAAACTTGACAGAACAGTGCTGGTTACAAAGGCAGTGACAATAATGGCCATCACTACAACACAGATTAATAATACATAAATACAAAAAAATTGTTATAACAAAAGAACTAGCTGTCCAAAATTAAGTTCAAATTCTGCTTTGATGCATTTATTCCTCAAATAATACCTTTGAACAGCATCTCAAATGTGTTTTAGTCTGGATACACTTTCCATACTGTACTGTTCTCATGCTGTGCGATGCTGATGTAGCGAGATGTTGGCTATTTCTGCACATAGGACATGTTACATAGGACATATTGAGCATGTAATATTTTTGGCCAAACAAATCAAATGTTCTTTTGCCTGCACTAAAAAGTATTTTCCTGAATCGATTCACCTTTTTGCTCACGAGCGTGGGCCTCATGTATTGCTAAGTGGGTGACTCCAGTGTGAAGCAGTAAAGAATATCCTAGCAGTAGCTCTGTTGGAAAATGGTAACTGAAGCAGTGATGAGTTAGACCTAATTCGATTTTCCTTAAGTGGTTTGGAAGATTAGAACCATTGCAATTTATTCTTCACAACAAAGGCGTACAACTGCCGTTCTTTCACATGGGAAAATGTGCCTTAACTATATCTAATTGGCAGAATGGCTTAAATCCTTTTCTGCTTTGCTTCCTCCACTCGTGTGTGACCGCCCTCTATATTACAGAAGTGACAGTTGCGGAGAGCATATGCTCTAAATTCTCCGACTCCGGAATATTCCCTTACTTAGCTTTTACAGGCTGTTGTCATAGCAACTGTGATGATGATAACTAGAGTGGGTGGAGCTTTGAATCATCTATGAACACTAATCATTTGAACCCACTGATTCACGATGACCCCACATCAGGCCACTCACAAGAGTCCAGTGTTTCTGTTTAATGTATGGCGATTTCTCTACCTAATCTTAATTTAATGGGGAGAGTAAATGTTAAGAGATAGAATTGCCCTTAATTTTATACCTTAATGTAAAAGTTATTAGAATGCAGTAGAATGAATGTCTTCTCTTTCTTTTTTCTGTCTTTCTCTCTCTCTCTCTCTCTTTCTCTCTCTCTCTCTCTCTCTCTCACTCTTTCTCTCTCAGCAGAGCTCATGTATACAGTTGAGCTGGCCGGTGGACTGGGTGCCATTCTGCTGTTGCTGATTTTCCTGGTTACCCTTTATAAGTGCTACAGGATTGAACTCATGCTCTTCTACAGGAACCACTTTGGCAGTGAGGATGTGGACGGTGGTAAGATCAAAATTACTTATGGCCTTACTCAGCAATGCTTTATACAGTGAACTGCAGGAGAGCAGGACACAACCTAATAAGATTTGTATTTTTTGGTTTAAATTTTTTGGAAATGTTTTATACAAGCATCATGCAGATCTTTCCTACAAAAGACAACTTAAACTTTGTTTGCAGCACCTACTGTTTATGAACAAGCTTGCTAACTTAAGTACAAAAAAAATATAAATCTATAAAATGAAAATATCTAAAATATATAAATACAATTCATGATAGAAGCTGTGTCAAATGACAAATGTATTTTGACCTCAAAGTAACATCAGCATGATAAATTGAAATATTTTATGTAAATTTCCATAACTGTTTTTGAATTTATATATGGAAGATATGGACTTCCCTCATGGTTAACTTTAAGAGACTTAGTTGTAACACTGCACTACAACTAACCTGCCGTGTGCAGGCATTACTTTAGTCTGGTTAGCTTTTGCCATTAGTTGTTTACATTCTTCAAAATGAGGGTGACTACAATAATATATGTTTGATTTCTGTGACTTATACACAAATCTCAGTAACTGAAACAACATAAGATGAAAAAAGTTACTTTTATGGTCCAAAAACAGGCTTGAATCTCAAGAAATATCTATCAAACTGCTGTCAGATTTCACACGACATTACCATGGCGATGCAAGAAGATGACCAAAGCATGTCGTACTTGAACCTGCTTAACTACATATAATGTTCAAGTTACATTTTACCCCATGTTAGGTTGTGCCTGACTCTCCCTTACCCAACATCTGATTCATAAAACTGTTCTACGACATCAAAATGAACAGAAATTTGAGCACAAAAAAAATGGATCAACTTCAGTGTGTAGAAACAAGCGCCAGTGGTGTGATGCCTTATTTACATATTGTTTAAAAGGATATTCCCCCATCTTTCTCTTATATACATATGGTTTACAAAAAATACACCCTAGTTCATGCAGATTTTATGAATTGAGCCAATAAAAGGAAGGCATTCAGCAGGCTCATGAGCTAATGATTGTCCTCATAGGGGGAGTTTAAGGATAAGCTTTGTTTTTTGGTCATTAATTAATTGTTCTAGAAATGCTATGACGCAAAAGTGCAGTACAATATATATTTATATTAAATGTTAATATATTAACGTTGTCATATTGATGTGCATGTAAATAAAAATAAACAGTACTTGCACTCCAGCGTTAACTCAAAATCTGTCTTGAAAATGTTTATTGCCATTTGATACCTTTGATGACTTGATGCATTAAAATGCATTTTTACTTTGACTTTTTAAGGAATTAATTTTAGCTTTTGTAGTAAAAAGCAATGTAAGCAGCAAATTCAACAAAAAACAACATATTTTACATTTGTTTTTGTCTTTGAAAATAGGTAGAAAAGGACTTTTACACGTCCCCCATGTCCATTTTTGAGCCCAAATTCAAACACTGGTAAGCAGTGATTGGAGGGCTGCTAAAATAAGGTGGAGCTTGGGATTGGTTGATTGGACTAAACCTTATGCACTGTAATGATTTTAATTGGCCATAATACAATGACACGCATCACCGAAAAAAAAAGACTGACGCTATGTATACCAAGTGTAAATAGGATGATGTTGCAAGGTACTTAGTATAAAAAACATGCTTTTACTATTTGCACTTAGTGTTCATAGTAATATCATGCTGTGTACACTTACATAAATATATGCTATTTAATACAGTGTCTTGTTACTGATTCAGCAGTATTAGCCTAGGTGTAAAATGATTGTTTTTTTCTAAGCTGTACTTCAGGTTATTCTTACCAACAACACTCTCTCTCTTTTGTCAGAAGGTTGCTGTCCCCAGTTGATTTGTACTTATTTGTTCTTGTAATTGTACATAGTTACTTCTGTTGTTTACATTTTCACTTGCTTATCTGAATATGTAGATTTAAACAAACAAATTTGTCTGTAAAAAGTACATTTTAATTTTAATTACAACAATGCTAGTTGATCTAAAGGAGTAATGAAATGTTTTGTTTATTTAAGTCAATTATGAACAGTACATAATCCTTTAGAAACATGAGAAGTACACAAACATTGCCTTGCTAGATTTAAATAGCAAACTGCTGAATTATTTTGCCAAAATTAAAAATAATTTGCAAATGAGGCCTAAACTCTCCCTTTCCTTTCTGCAGAACCAGCATCATTGTGCTGCCATAAATAACAGTTTAAGCTTTAACAATTGTTATTTAATTGTTAATTGTTATATTATTATTACCTACAATATTTATTAAGCAGTGAATGGAAAATCACACTTACTTATTTTCTTGGTAATATTACTCTGTATAACCCTTCTCTCCCATTTTCCCTTGAACACAGCGTTTCTCAGTGCTGCCTCATTTTTGTTCATGGAAAGTATAAAAAGTTTGGTGCACTATATTCATGTCATTTACTAGGCGAAGTTAGTGCAAATAACCAGGCTGCATGGTTAATGGTATTTACATTTAGTGTAATCAGATACTGCCAAAATCTAATTTAATTTCCTTAAAATGCAGCTTAATGAATACTCTTTCCCCATTGGCTACCCGTGGCTGTGCACATGACATCAATGTTTAAAGCCATCAAAACAAATCATACTAAACAAACCTAATTAGTGTGCAAGTCCAAACTGTTCACTGGCTAATCTACCTAACATTTTATTTTCATTTTATCTTCTCTCATTCACAAACACCACAAACAGCTTTTTTTCTCTCATTTGGCCTTACAAGACTGAAGCAGCAGGTGTCAGCAGCCTGATTTTAATAATATTCTGGTTTATATAGGCACATGGGGATGGGTCATGCATGAAATACATATTCATGTCTGTAAACATTACATTTTCATATTTAGCAGACACTCTTATCCATAGCTATTTAAAATGGTTGGTGAGTGTAGTTGAGTTTTACTGGTAACTTATTGCAGCTGTTTTTTAATCAGTAACAACAGGGAACTATATATGAATAAAAAATTTAAAAAAAAAGATCCGTTATATTTGAAAACACCACCATCACTCTCCCGTTGAGATGCAGCAGAAGATGGTCAATAGTATGGCCACTGCAAGGAAAAGATCACAAGGCCCAGAGATGAATAGAACATGAGAGTGTGTGTGCTGGAACTGCTTTTTTGTGGAAGAAATGGCCAGAAATAGAAAATACTAAAAACTTGTATTTGAAAGAGTGTATTCGATAAGGCTTTAAACAAAAGCGTTTTGTAAAAATTATTACTTTTTCTTTACTATGTGAAAATGCATACAAACAATATGTTATCATGTGAAGCATCACAGCTGTGAAGATCTACAGTGACCAAATCACAGCTGTTCTATTACAATACAGATGTTATTTATGTCAGTGTACTCCCTGGCATGTTCTTTTGCCTAATTAACAGTAGAATTAAAATATATTAATAAAAAAATGACAAGGAATAACTCAAGACAGCTTAAATAATTATATATATTTTTCTACTCCTCCTACACTTAGGTTTAACCCATTGACCTCACATTTGTGTCCAAAACCTCATCTCAAAACTGGCATTAGGTAAAGTATTTGTAACAGTTTTGTGCAATTGTTTCCTGTGAGGTAGCTTCTAGAGGCTTCTTGTAATGGTTCCTATCACCACCTCTGTGTGAGTCTATAAATTTCTCTTGAATGGCACATTTCACAACAAACCACTCTGAATTCATTTGTTTACATCTTAACCATTTAATTATACAAGAATTTAGAAAAAAAATTGTGGAATTCTCCTTTAAGGATAACCATGTGACACTGAACTTAAATAAGGGTATGCTATGTAATGAATCCATTTCTTACAATGCACAGAGCATTTAGTGTGTTGTAGCTTTGTAACTGCACACAACAAAGCACAGAAGTGCATTCGTATTGTACCTCTTATGTGGCCATGGCAATGGACATGAATTGTGAAGCCAACAGCCAACAATAGCCATAATTTACACATCCTCTCTAGTCATTAACTTGTTTTTTTAAATCTTTAGAACCCTGACCTGCTGCTCCTTTACTGTGGCCTCTAAGGAGCAGATACATTTCAGCCCCTTTGCTCTGTTTACTTCCTCCAGTCCCAACTGAGAAATCGCACGCAGTTTATTTGATGAATGGTGTTCAGTGATGCGCCTACCTCACCTTGACATTCCATTAAACAAATTGAATGTCCCGTGCGCTGTAGGTCAGGACTACATGGACTAAATATTTCACCTCTTGTAACAGATTTAATATTTTCGCTTTGGGCTTTGGAAATTGCCAGGCCTTTTCAGATGAACTGTGATAAAGAAAGTAATTTTTCTGCTCCTTAATAATGAAATAATGTGTTTAACTTGCTCTTTGTCTAGATCAAAGTCTGGAATGTCAAAACATTCCTGTATCAAAAGAAATTAAAACTTTTCTGAAGTGGGTGTCAGTTCAAGGTTATTCGTAATTTCCTCTAAGAGCTGTTGGCAGGCAACTGAGCTGCCATACATTAGAGACAAAAGACAGAAGGGCTGAGAGAAATATTAGTTAGCAGGCAAGAACCATAGCACATAGGGGTGTCACTAGGTTAGGGAGCCCCCTTCCTTTTTTGTTGCTCTAAAGCACTGCATGCTTTCTTTTGAGGCGCCTTGATGACCGGCGTTCTGGACATTTCTATGAAAGTCATTACTGCAGGAGCTGGGATGGGGTCCCAGCTCAGGGGCCTGAGCATAATAGATGGTTATAAGACAGATAGTGGTGGGGAAAAAGCTGGATAGGGATGGAGGGGAGTTAACACCAGTGCCTTGAACTTAATTCCAAACAGCGATTGTCTCCTTTAATTGTGCCACTCCGGTAAGCTCAAGGGAGAGAGAAACAGATTTTCAATTTGCTCTCAGTTTAAGGGGATCAGTTTCAATAAGCCAGCAGGCCTTGCCCACAGTTCCCCAAAGAGCCGCACACATCCCAGAAACACTGAGGTGATTATTCCTCTCCCCACCTCTCCCTTGCACA